CAGCTGCACAATCCTCTCTTTTATGGGTTTTGGAAGTGCTCAGGATAATATATCTGAAAAGTGATAATGTAATGATCTAACTTTGTGGAAGTTATTGCTTTGGAAATTCCATTGAATTGTTTTGAGATGCATACAGAGTACTCATGGAACAACTGGAAAACCTAGTTTTTCACTTGTGTGAACTGATTTCTTACAAACTGCTCTTGAAATTTTGTTGTCTCCCTTCCTTCTCTTTGCGTTTGCCTACATTGATCTTATATCTTCTAACCAATTGTTGCTTTTGTATTTATCTTGTCTAGGTTCCTTCCACGGCTTGTTAACTCCATACTGACTCTCCTGAGAAATGGTGGACAGAAAGAGCCAGATATTATTGAGCAGGTTTTTGCTCTTGTCTAACATATTCTCCGCTCAGGACAATGCTTAATATTATCTTCTTCTTTTTTTTGGCAGATATTCCTATCATGGTCGTACATAGTGAGGGATCTGCAGAAGTATCTCATATGCGACATCGGAGGTATTCTCAGGTAAGTACATAATTAAATAGTTGTTCTGGATTGAGTGAGGAGGTTATCTGTTACTAGCAGCCTGACTTAGCCCAATATTGTTTGACTAGTTTCTTTTCTTTTCTTCTTAGAGTTGTCCTTGGCCGGTTTTATGATTGCATATTGTAGGGGTTTCTTAAATGATACGCTGTAGGGTTTTCTTTATTTTCTAAAACAATCTTCTTTTGATGTAGGGATACATTGGAGCTGAGGTATTACCCCGGCAAATATATCAACAAATTTATGTCGCCTTCGATATCATTTTTGTTGAGGACTGCACGGGATGAGCAACTCGAAATAGGTAATGAATTGCTTTTCATTTCTCTCTCTTTTTTGTTTTGTTTTGTTTTCCATATCTATGTTAGGGACAGTCCAGTTGACTCTTATCCCATGAACATTGCAATTGCAGGGATCAAGAGGATCCTCTCTGAAGTTGCAGATCCACTGAAAAAACGTGGAGGAGTTAGTCTACTATATCATGTTATGAGGGGTACCTCTGTGCATCTCCATTCCAAAGCTGGGCAGGTTTTGAGGTTCTTGCTGAAAGATTCAACATTGTCCTTTTGTGATCATTTTCCTCAGGGCAAGTCCTCTTTTCTACACATACGTTGGAATATTTCATAAAGTCTAGTGATCTCTCTCTAATACTCGTTTGATTTAGCTTCCTCTTGGTTAAATCTTAATCGAGAGGGGTGAAATTTGAAGTCAGTATTGTAGAGTTTTCTTATTTTACGTATCCATTTTCGCATGTGATTAGTTTAGGATTTAAGTTTAGATAATGGGAAGTTGGTATTGTATAATCTTGAATTTATACTCCTAATGGTTCCCTTCCTTCTGATCTTGGTTGGACCTTGTATTTCGTTTTCCAGGTGCTGATAGTATAGTAGAAGCATTGAGTTCAACTTTGCAAAGTATATGCGAGGATTTTAAAGCAGAAGAATTACGTGTTATGTGGAACTGCCTGTACGAAGAAACAAAAAAATCAATCAAAATACAGCTCATTTAAGCCGACTCCTGACCCTGCTTACTTCAATTGTTAGGGTTGAGAAAGGTCTCAAAGTTTATGGTGAGTTATTAAGTAATCCAATTTTTCGACTTGCATGAAAACATACATTTGCATGATCGTGTTGGCAATTTATGTCGTTGTCAATGTGTAACAGATTACCCATATTTGGTGGGACTCGTGAGGCAGATTGTGCCAACTTATAAGGATTCCTCTGCTGTTCTTGATAAAGTTCTGAGACTAATGTTATGCACCATTGACAGACCCAGTACTGCCAATGAAATGAAATCCATTGCTTCGCAATGGGCCCCCATTTTTTCCTTGAATTGTTCCAGGTATTTTTTATACAATTCATCCATTTATGCTCTTCAAATTAGTCAAATTCTATTTTTCTTTATAATTGATCATTCAATCTTTGCAGTTTGCTGAGTTTTTTGCCGGAGTTGCTAGCAAAGGATAAATTAATTCTGAAAGCCTTTACAAGTAATATATTAAGGCAAGACTCACGTCGTTTTTTTTGTTTGTTTATTACCTCTTTAAGTCTGCCTCTCATTTATGTCTTTAGTGACTAAGTTGTGTGTTGCAGTTCGATCAACAATATGATTTTGGTGTCTCCTGAGGATGTTATTCCTCTGTTACTATCACTGTGTGAGAGCGAGCAAATAAGTCATGACAGGGTGAACATCATAGATGAGAGCAAATTTGAGAGAATTCATGAGTTCTTGGAAGAGAAGGTTAAGAAAGTCCAAACGAATATAGAGAATATAGGATTAGCTCAAATTGAAGAGGCTGAGTTGGCTGCTGCTTGGGGAGCTGTTAAATGTTTTCCCTATTTTAAAGTTGATTCATCATTGCTGATTTGCTTTAAGAATACTCTCATACAGCATTTGGCAGCCTCAGTTGGTAAGTTTTTGCCTTGCCATTCAAGTCTTATTTCTTAGAAGTAAACACTTTTAGTGCTCCGGAACTGATGTGGCAGAGCTTAGTTGGTGCTGCTTTGAGGTCATGTCACGAATCCTGTTCTAGTGGAAGAATTTACCATTTGAGGTCTACTGGAAGACTCATCCACAGTGATCTAGAGGAAGCTTTGTCTCTTGCTAAATCTTACAAGTCATGTGTACAAGTGCTGTCTCCTGTGGCTGACTATTTGGATTTTGTGTATAGGTGAGTTTGTATGTTGTGGTGGTTTTATTCTTCTCCATGTGATGATACACTGATTCGTTTTTTAATCACAGGCCTCTATTAGCTAAGAATGATATCTCTGAGGCATGTCCAGAGCTCCAAGCAAATAATGCTGAAGATGCGTTTGACATATTTTCTGAAAATTTATGTCACTCGAAAAAAGACGTCCGTCTTATGACTTTAAGGATTTTGTGCCATTTTGAAACTTTGTATCCCAACCCTTGTTTTGAAGAGCATCCTCCAATGAAGAAGCTGAAAACTGAAGTGATTCAAAAGTCTTTCCCTGAAAGGAATGTGAGTAGTTATTTTTACTTGTGTATTCCAAAAGCGCTTTATCCTCAAATCCTGATTGTTTTACTAACAGTAATAACTTATTCCCTCTGCACTCTATAATCATCTCAACTAATTTAAGCAAAAAAATCCCTTCAAATTAATTACCAGGTTCTTCAGTTATTAAAAGCAGTCGAGGAGGAGTCTCATCTCACAGTATCGACTGCAACGGAGTTGGTCAGGGGCATTGCTACAATACGAATGGATCTCTCTGCTGGCAGGATACATGACGCATATGTGCCACTTGTATTTAAGGGAATGATAGGGTTATTTCATAATCGATTTTTTGATATATGGGAACCAGTATCTGAATGCCTTGCGGTTCTTATGAAGAAGCACACAGGAGCGGTGTGGAATGATTTTGTTCAATATTTGGGCCAGTGCCAACTAAAACTTGAAGTACTCGACAGTCATAGCGAGAATGAAAACTACAGCATTTCACAGAAGCATACTGGTAGGTTTTTTCGTTATTTCAGTAATTTGTATCTCTATATTACAACATTTTTGCATCTCCTATAGTATCCTTTTCATCTATCGTTCTTCTCTTATTGTTTTAATGTTTGTCTTTCCAATCTGCAGGTCTGATGGAGCGTTTCAATTCGTTTGTCCTCCCGCCATCTGATAGCACGCCTACTGGGAAAGTAGTATCTCTGTTGCTCAAGACCTTACAAAAAGTTCCCACTGTTGCACAGTCTCGAGCCTCTGATCTTCTCCCTCTGTTATTGAAATTTTTGGGATACAACAGCGAAAATCCTTTGAGGTAATCATTTCTCTGTCTTTTGTTCTTTGAGGTAATTTTCTTAATCCTTTGAGCCTCTGATCTTTCTCTCTACGATGTAGGGTCGGATTATATAATGGCGGAGCTTGTAGAGGAGAGGAGTGGAAGGGGTTGCTTATACAATGGTTGACTTTACTGAAGTTGATGAAGAATCCGAGGTCTTCTTGTTTTAGTCAGTTTGTAAACGATGTTATGCAGAACAGGTTGGTGAGACCAGCTGATTTTGATAGTCCACTGTTCTTCTGAATATCTTGGAGTAAGATAATTTCACTGACATCTCTCTGCATGCGTTTTGTGTTCCTTGGATATTTTACCAGGTTCCTAGACCATAATGATGCTGAAATACAAATGAGTGTCCTAGACTGCCTTGTGTTGTGGAATGACTATTTACTCCCACACCGCCATCACTTGGAGAATTTGATCAAACCAAAAGAACTGAGAGAAGAGCTCGCGCGCGACCTGGAACTTCTCCAAGGACATCGAAGAGGCTCACAGATATCATTTTGTTTCTCTTGTAATTAGGATCCTTATGCCTAAAGTTAGGAATTTGAAGAATTCAGCGTCGCGTAAGGTACATGTATTACATACTATATTTTCTTTTTAGTTTATTTGACCCTTGCCAATGCGGGTTTTCATTTAGGTCTCAATAGTTTTTTTCTTTTCTCAGCGTACAAGTATTCGTTACCGGGATGCGGTTCTTGGCGTTATATCTCAGCTAGATGTTAATGAACTTGCTCTGTTCTTCGCATTGTTGATGAAGCCTTTGAACATCATAACAGAGGAAACAACGGACTTGTTTTGGAGCTCAGGCAAAAGCTCTCTGGATTATTTCCAAAAGTCGAATTTACTCAAATCAATCAAGGCCGATACTATTTCGACCTTATCCTGGAAGAAGAAATCTGGTTTTCTTCATGTCATACAACATATACTTGAAGTCTTTGATGTATTCCATGTCCGACCATTTCTAGACTTTCTGATGGGATGTGTTGTCCGGCTATTGATAACCTATGATCCAAATATCGATGAAGAGAAGAGCATTGATAAAGAGATTGTTGCAACAAATCAAGAACAGGTAAAATTGTTATTTATGTTTCTTGCTCTCCTTCCCTAAAGTTTTTATTCAAACTATTTTTTTTTTTTTTTCCGCTCATTTCATTTCTTTGGAATATATTGACTGACACTTTTTTTTTTTTGAATTAGGCTGGCACTTCTTTAAAGCAGTTTAAAGAGTTGAGATCCTTATGTCTGAAGGTTATTGCTCGTGTTCTTGAAAAGTACGAGGATTGTGATCTTGGCTGTGAGTTCTGGGAACTCTTCTTTTCAGCAGTGAATTCGTTAATCAAGAGTTTTAAGCAGGAGGGTTCTAGCAGTGAGAAACCCAGCTCATTGTTCGCATGCTTCTTGTCAATGAGTAAAAGCCGCAGTCTCGTCACTTTCTTATGTCGGGAAGAGTCTCTTGTTCCAGACATTTTTTCAATTCTAACAGTGACCACAGCTTCAGAAGCTATAAAGTCCTCTGCCTTGAGTTTCATAGAGAATCTGCTCAGTCTTGAGAGTGACTTGGATGATGATGACCATATGATCAAAGGATTCTTAGATCCATATATAGAGGCACTGATTAACAGCTTGCATTCTCTCTTCCTTGTGGATATTTTGAAAAGGTAAAGGTTCTTGTAAATTGACGGACATATTGGTGTCATGTTTTCTTTTTATTTTTGTCTTATAAGAAAAAAGTGTGAATTATGATCAGGAAATCAGTCAAGTATCATGGAGCAAGAGAGATTAAGATTCTTAAACTATTGTCGAAGCACATGCGAGATGGGTCTCATGTTATTAAGTATTTGGATATCTTGCTGTCTTTCTTGGATCAAAGTGTGAAAGATTCTGGTATGGTTACTCTTTACTTTTCGTGGTAAAACTTGTCGAATATTATGTCTCTTGTGTGTGACTGTCTCATTGTTGCTGCAGATATTCATCGTGAGGCTTTGCTAGCCATTCAGGACATCACATTGTTGCTTAGGGCTGAGAATACCACCAAAATTATTAATATTGTGTCTCCTCTGCTTGTTGACGCTGAAATTAATGTTAGATTATGCATTTGTTATCTTCTTGAATCTCTTGCAAAAATCGACTTTTCTCTGGATCATGTGGTAAGTATTCACATCTATGTTTAGAGCTGACTCATTTTCTTCTCTCTCTCTTTTTCTTACGTTTGCAATTGTAACAAACAATTGGTTTTGTGATTTTACAGGCAAAATGTGTCCGCGAAATGAATGCCATCTCACCGATGGAAGTTGATGACCTTGACTATGAAACTATAGTTAATGCATATGGCAAGATCGATGCGGATTTCTTTAATAAAACCCTGCCACAGCACATGATGATAATACTCTCACAGTGTATATACAACATATCATCAGAAGAACTTTCCTTAAAAGACAGCGCACGTAACCTCTTGGGTTCTTTCATTGAATTTTTGGCCTCAATACTTTGCCAAGAAGGTTCAGGTCAGTCTGATATTGGCAAAGAAGTTGCAAAAGCTGATGCAAGCTGGACAAGAGATGGTATATTGTGGATTGTGAATAAGTTTCTTCTGCAACACATTGGAGATGCAATAAACAGAGGAAATTCTAATGGAAAGGTACTGTGACCCCCTTCTAAGCATGGGTGTACGCATTGTAAGAATGAAATGGACACTAGTTGTCAAATGGGTTTATGCTGCCTAACAATTTTATGATGTTGCTTGTGATGCTTCTGCTTTATAGCTAAGTCTCTTGACCGGGAAAACTATTATGTGTTTCAAATTGTTAGATTAAAACTCGTAGCTCTCTTCTGCTGCAGGAGGAGATTCTTTTGATACGCAAAATGGTGGTAAAACTTCCAGATGCTGGAAATTTGGCTGCATTCAGACCTTTGTGCTCGGAAGACGATGAAGTGGATTTCTTTAAAAACATTTTCAGTATTCAGGTAAGTCAATTTGTCATATGACTCCTTGAGTCCCCTGTTTTTGTATTCCTGTTGTGGTGAGAAATAGTTTATATTTCTTAACCCAGTGCGAGCTATTATTTTTTTTGCTGAATCCTTATTGTACCCTTAGATGAAGCAGCATATAGGTTATAGAAACCTTGCGATGGTTTATTTCTTTGAATGTCTTGTAGACACACCGTAGAGCAAGGGCAATCAAACGTTTCGCAAAGGTGATCAAAGATGGCAGTCTGCCTGAGGTGATGTCCTTAAGTTTCGTAGATTTTTAAATACGATTTGGTACTTTCATAGACTTATAATCAATTTCTGTTGGGGTTGCAGGGAGTAGTGAGAAATTTTTTTGTCTCGGTCTTTTTCAACATGTTGCTTGGTGGAGAAGATGGAAAAAATAAAAACGTCCAAGATGCATGCAAAGAAGCCCTTGCATCTGTATCTACTCATATGAGTTGGAATTCGTATTATGCTCTGTTGAATAGGTGTTTCCGTGAGATGAAGAAGCATACCAAGAAGAGAAAACTTCTGCTGCAGCTTATTGGCTTGATTTTAGATCACTTCCATTTTTCAAAAGATGATTACCCACAGGAGGCTGCAGAGATTAGAGCTTGCATTGAAAAAACGTTCCTCAAGGTACAGAAGCTGATGGATCCTGACTCTGACAGCATTCATGTTGACAGCTACGTGACTGCGGTGAAAGTTCTAAAGCATCTCCCGACAGAAATGATGGACGCACAGCTAGACTCTGTTGTTTCTAAAATATCCAGTTATTTGAAGAGCAAGTTGACGGGCACACGCGATAAAGCCAGAATGGCTCTGGCTTCTTGTTTGGAGGAAATTGGGCTGGAGTACCTGCAATTTGTTGTAAAAAATCTACGTGCTAGATTAACACGAGGATCTGAGGTGAATGTGCTGGGATACACTGTCAATTTTATCTTATCAAAGTGCCTGTCTAATCCCACGGGTGGGAAGTTGGATCATTGTTTGGGAGATCTCCTTGCTGTTGTGAAAACCGATATCCTTAGAGTTGTTGATGAACAGAATGAGGGGAGAGTATTCAAGATGAAGAAAGAAAAAAAAGCGTGCAAGTCGCTTGAAACTTCAAAACTGATTGCTGAAAATGTAACGTTCAGAAGTCATGCATTGGAGTTACTTTCTCCGGTCACTGGGCATCTGCAGAGGCATCTGACTCCAAAGTTCAAATCAAGACTGGAGGAGATGTTAAAGTATATTGCAGCTGGTATTGAAGGCAATCCATCTGTTGATGAAGAGGATTTTTTTTGCTTTGTTTATGACCGTGTTTATGATGGTATTAACGACAGTAGTGATCTTGGACCATCCAAAAACCAAAGGAAATCAAGAGATCTTCAAAAGACTGCTTGTGCTAAATCATGTCCACATCTTCTAACCGTGTTTGCTCTGGACTTGTTGCACAGTAGACTGAAGAAAATGAATCTTAACAATAACAATAAAGTGCTCTTGTCGAAGCTGGATCCTTTTGTCAAACTACTTGTTGGGTGCTTGAGCTCTAAGTACGAAGATGTTGTATCTTCATCTGTTAGATGTTTCACTGCTTTGGTAAAGTTACAACTGCCTTCCCTCATTTCTGAAGAAGATAAAGTGAAGACAGCAGTGCTAAACCTTGCTCAGTCTGCAGTGAGTTCGAGTAGTCCTCTTATGCAGTCATGCCTTAAGCTGTTAACAGCTGTTCTCAACAAAGGAAATTTAACTTTATCATCTGGGCAGTTGAAAATGTTGATTCAGTTTGATCTGGAATCAGATTCATCTGAGGATTCATATATTACTTATCTTTCACTTATCAAGGCCATTGTGGGAAGGAAGCTTGCAGTTCCAAAGCTATATGATATAGCAAATCAGGTTTCAGCTGTGATGATAAAAACTCAGTCGGAACCAATCCGCAAGAATTGTAAAGACTTGCTATTGAAATTTTTGGTACATTATACACTTTCTGAGAAATGCCTAGAAGGACATGTTCAGTTTCTGCAGAAAAATCTGAGGTATGTATGTGCACTAGCTTTGTGAAATTTAGCCTCTTGTTTTTCTAATATTAACTGAATTTTTCCTCCTCCAGCTATGAACATCCAGCTGGAAGACAAGCAGTTCTTGACATGCTTCAAGCGCTAATAGAGAAAGTGAAATCCTCAGAACCTAATCTCGGCAAGCAGTCAGTTCTTGACAGGCAGTCTCAAAACTTGTTTCTTGAGCTGGCTCATCGTTTGGCAACCGATGATGCCAAAGAAGTGCTATCCAAGATTGGTGGTGTGATAAAACTTCTGATAGGTTGCATCAGTAAAAATCAAGTTGATTCCAGTCTCGAGCTTTGTCTTGTCTGGTATAAGCAGGAAGACTCACGGGCTAAAGCAGCACAGGTAAATGCTTTGTTCTTATTGATGTTACTTAGATGTCAGATCAGAGGATGTAGGAACTTATAACTGCACATGCTTCGGTTGATACTTGCAGCGGTTGATAATTATGCTGTGCAGGTACTTGGATTGTTCATTGAAGCCCGGAAGGAAGCATTTTCAAAGCATATCCGCAGTATATTATTGCAGGAGGTTAAAACGATTTTGGAGTCTGCTGTACAGTTGCAAGATGCTGTTGATGAAGGCAGGGTTCCTTCCTGGAGGGAAGCATACTATTCAGTGGTTATGATAGAGAAGATGCTCCAGCAGTTTCCTGATTTATGTTTTGCAAAAGGTTTAGAGGTACTGCTCTCAGTTGTTGTATATTTCTGAGAAGTTGGTGCCTCGTGAATCATTGTTGCATCTTAAAAGTTCTG